GCTTTCTTCTGGTCCAAGGCCAAGAATCGGCGCTGCACTGCTAGGTGGTGAATGCGGTGTTGTAGGCGACCCCAATTGATTCACGCTTGAATCGTCAAAATGCAGGCTTCGATAGGTGAAACCAGCCGACGTTGGCGAAGCTGGCAGGACGGTCGCGGCAGATGGATCCTCTAGTCGAGTAGGTGAACCAACCTCCACCAGTCCTCTGAGTTCATTGGCTGCAATGAGTGGCACAGAGCGCGTTCGAGTTGGCATGCGTTGAAACGCCTTGCCATCTGTCTTGGTGTGGTCCTGTCGTGCGCAAAGAGGCGCAAAGAGTGAGCAAGATGCCGCAGAGCTCGCGATGCTACCTTGAACATACCGGAAACAAAGTCAGATGCTAAGGTGCGCGGATGGGAGAAGAGCATCAAAGTGAGCAACTCGATGAGGGATCCTTGGTATGTATTTGCCGTTTTGCCCCTATTCTCGCCTTGCGAGACGCATACAGCCTCCTCCGCACGTAACCTAAATCCCACAAATCGAGGCTCCACTCAGATCGACTCACCGCAGAGAGGGCTTCAGCTCCGGCATAAGGAATACCACAAGCTCTGCACGTAAAAGCTTTGATCTCGTCGGCCCTCCTCCTAGCCAAGGCTTCCTCCTGTTCATCCGCGGCTCCTCCAGTGATGCTATCTAGCAAATTGACCGTTCTGCTTCGCAGATTTGCCAAAGGAGAAGATATCGCCGAGTGAGATCTTCTAGAGGCAGAAATGGCCCAGTCGTAGTGTCGTGGCTTGCTCCTGACCGACATGCTTGCTGGTGAGGGAAAAGAAGTCGTAAGCAAGATGGGCAGATTGAAGCAGGACGTATAGAGGAGATGTGACCGCCGATAGATTGTTAAATGGAGAGTTGAATAACCTAGCGAAAGGTAGGCGAGGCGGCTTATTGACTACCCGGGGCTCGGACCGAGAGGGTGGTATCCACGCTATAAGCGACCGCGGAGGTCGTTCGAGGGGCTCGCGGCAAGATGGGTCCGGATGGACATATACGTGGTGTACGCGAGAACACTCGATATGCGATCTGGTGCGCTTTTGCTGAGTCTCATGCACACCTAACGGCCACACCCTTCCAGCGCCTTCAAAGCAGGTAGCCTTGTGAGTCACGTTCTTCGTGCACTATTCGACTTGACTGTATACCGGTGGCTGCCAATGCTCCGATTCGCAGTGATCAGCCGCAGTGTACGTGTCGAGTCCGCCCTTGCACGCAAGAATGGAAGTTGATCCAAGTCAACTGCCTTCAATCGGTGATGGATGCTCCAGGGAGGGTCGGAATCGCGGCCAAGGTATCTCGCTGTGCCGATTGATATGCGCGACGAATTATGAGTGTAGATGGTTGCTATGCACAGCCATCAGGGCCGCAGAGTTCGTCGGCTTGATAAGCGGTCGAGGTGCGCATGCGCGTCCGGATGAACGAAGTTCTCTGCTGATCTTTACAAGTAACTCACGCTGCCGAGAAGCAAGATTACTGAATGCTGTGTGATCGCTGTTGAGGACCACTCAAAGCACGTAAGTTGTGCGACGTGGGAAAGCAAGTAGTGCGACTTGGGGAACGATGCGGTCCGTCTCAGTCGGCATCCATATACAGTACATGCTTTCCACTCACCTCGTGCCCGACTCGGACATGCGCTCGCCCGTGCGTGAAGAGCCTCCACACCGTCAGCTATACTGTAGCAGAAAGCAGACCCTTTCTTCCCTTTCGCGAGCGGCAGCTTCGTGATGACGGGTGGAATTAGGTACAGCTGCTAGTCAAGTGCACGCGACCACCACCCTCGTCGGCAAATGATGAGTGCTTGATGAATAGCTCGCTTGGCGGCCATAGCATAGCCTCCTCCTTCCTATACCTTCTCCACAAAAGCCCAGGCCTGATATCAGGCAGGGTCTTTTCTGCAGCTAGCCTCTTGCGTGCGTCATGCATCTCTTGCGCCGAATCATCACAGCTAGCAGGCGCTTCCCAAGTCTACATGCAACGGAGCGGTCACAGTCACAGTCATTTGCCATCTGGTGCTGCAGTCATTCACATTTTGAGTCGCGTGGGCTTCCGCGTGCCCATACAAGGAGTAGGCGGTGCGGCGTGCTAGCAGGCGTGAATCAACGCCCAGGTTTTGAGTGGCTTGCGTCGCAACTTAGCGCGCCTCTTTGCAGCATGATGAGCATGCAGGTCTCGGCCAATGGTGACTGACCACCGCTGTGACTGCGTGACACGAAGAGCGCATCCGTCATGTCCTTCGTACAAGCTATGAACAAGTAATAAATCAGCAGTCTCGAGATGAAATACCGCCATGAAGTCCCACATGACGAGAGGAAATCACTTCAAGGCACTTGGCTTTAGAGGGGTGTGCGCGAGAAAAGGGATGCATGTCGTGACACGTTTGTATGCAAGAAGGGCGAGGCGGGGTCGAATGTGTGAACAGTAGTAGTTGAGAGGCAAGCGGATGGGATCCTCCAGATGCGAGGATGTCCCATCGAGTCAGCAAAAGGCCTAGTGAGGAGCCGCTGCAGGTATTGATTTGCTATACAAAGGATGCCCTACGCGGGTCTTGCTTTTGGGGGGATTGGGCAATGGATATGGTGAGCATCTAGCCTCGGGATTGCTGTATTAGACCTTGAAGAGCTTTGCGCAATTGCTTGGCATCCATCTTTTTGAGGTTGTTGGTGAAGTCTTGCGCCAATTGTGGAGGGCAGCCGATGCCCGGAAAGTAAGCCGTTGTCAAGAAGTTGAGGAGCTCTTGGCCTCGCGCGTCGTGGATCGTCTTGAGCAATGTGCAGACCTCTGTCAACACCAGCTGACTTTGAGCGTCGGCAAAATCAAAGGCGCTCTTCGATGGCGCCTCAAATGCCAAGGGAACGAGAGTTTCGTACACAAAGCTGGCGATGCCCGGAAGTTCAATTGCAGCCGGTCCATTGGTAGATCCGTTGGCGCTTGCTGGGCGACCCCATACTTGCACCATGCGGTGGAGGACGGAGAAAGCTGCACGCTGGGTTTGGAGATCTGCGTCGCTGGCGTAGAAGACGAGACTTTGCAAGACCGTTTGGAATTGCGATTGGTTCTTCTCGGAATGCAGTACGTTCTGGATACCGCAGCTAATAAGACCCGATAGTAGACCGACGTACGCACGAGAAAGCTCTGAACGCTGAACAGCATCATCCGTGCCTGATACGTCCTGGTTGAGCAAAGCGAATACACGCGGAATCAGGACTGGCAATAGCTCATCCATGATAGGCGCGATCGTGGCTTTGTACCGAGAACCCAGAAGACCGACGAAGGAGAGAATATCGACCATCTCCACTGCGCTCACTTCGCTCAGAAGGGCGGCAAGAAGAGGCGGGACGTAGGGTAGAACGGCATCTCCACACTTTGCAATCATACGCGCGAATGCGCCCCTTGCTGCGTCGCGAATGATGAGAAAGCCTTTCAGCTCGTTCAAGCCGGAAAGAATTTGCTCTGTGATGCCTTTGAAGATTTCGATCCATCGATACTCCCTCTGCGTCGAGCCGTCCGCCGCGGGCTGGACATCTGGAAACCCCTTGACGAGATTGCTGCTCGCGAGGAAGAGATGGTGCACCTGAAGAATGACTTGAGGATGCTGGTGGCTTTTGTGAGCTTGCAGTGCTTCCTCGAGCTGCGAACGCAGCGGTCCAACAAGGGAGCTCAGTAGAGATACTTGCTGCTCGGGCGCTCGTAAAAGAAGCGACAGGAGCACGCTGCTCGCTTCGAAAAGGTTCAGCTGACTGTCGAAAGCGGCATCTGAGGTGACTCCTTTCGCCAACACGTCTTCGTCAGGCTTGACAGGGGGCAGAACTGCGCTCACTACAAGGAGATCCTGCATCCTTTCGAGTAAGCCGGCGACGTGCTCATGGCTAAGAGCCGTTTTGCTGACGTTGATGAAGCGCAAAAAGAGGTACTCGACGCGCCTTCTTACAGCTGTGTCGGGATTTCTCAGCCCTCGCTCGTCCAGAAAAGTAGGCAAAGCTTGTGGGATAGCTGCTGAACTGATTGTGCAGAAGGAGGCGTAGCGCACAGCACACTCGAAAAAGGCGAGCTTGACAGCTTGGTGATCGAGCTCTGAAATCCGTGACTCGAAGAAGGCTTTGACTGTCTGGCCCAGAGCGTTCAGTGGCAACGTAGTGAGGTCGAGCTGCGAGGCTTGCTTTGCCCGAGACAAGCCGGCATTAGCTCCAGTGGTGGGTAGTGTCACGAAAGATGCAGATCCAATGCCGCTTTTGATCTGTCCAGATGCGGTCATCAAGAACTCGGCATAGAGGTACAGCACATGCAGTGCTAGCTCTGCTCTCTGCCAAGTCGTGGCTGCCCCTGTACCGGTCAAGCTGGCGTTGCAAGCTGTAAGCGTCTCGATAACGAATGACTGAATTTGTGGCGAGAATAGAGCCTCATCGATGCCAGCCACAGTCCCTATTAGAAGTTGCATATTCTGGCGATAGGTTGAATTGTCATGAGGTCAGCTGTGTTCGCAGATGAAATGGGCATACATGTGGACCCACCTTCCGCAAACTGTGAAAACGAGCTGCCTCGTCTTCGCTGCCATCCTCGCTTCCCCGCGCTTCGAGCTCCGAAGACCAATCCGCCTCTTCTCCAAACTGCATCCTCTGCAAGCAAACGCTCAGAAGAGACTCGGTAAAAGCGATTTTTGCGGGTGACAAGACCTCCTGCAGAGGCGTCGCCAGCGAGGCACGCCGCATTTTCTTCCACTGCGGAGAGGCGCGAATCACATCAGCGACATGTTGAGTATATGTAGCGGGCGTAGTGCAGGCGACATCACTCACACTCGCCAGGACGTGAGTCAAGGCAGGCAGAACCTGCTCCGGGATGTCGTCGCAGGCATCGGCGAGGAATGCAAGCGTGAGTGGCAGAGAAGGAGCCAGAAGTTCGTCCGCGGCTCGTGAGGACGCTGCATCCGCTGCCGGATCATCGACGATTCTTCCGAGCTCCAGACTGTTGCCATTTGCAAGACGAGCCAGACGTTCGCGGAACTCTACATCATTGTCGCCTCGAGTTGAGGCCTCCAGGCCGGTTATGACGGTGGTCAGGTCCAGGACTCTCACTAGCTCAATCTTGTCGGGGGGTTTCATGCCTTTGCTTACTACCTCTAGAAGCGTCTCGGCGGCCGCGATCCGAAGCGCAGTGATTGGGTGCTGCAATAGACCAAAGAGGACTGGCAAGGTCGTAGCGGTCACCATCAGGGAAATGTCCGTCCAGGCTAGAAAGCGGAAACGAGCGACGTTTGTTTAGAGGCGCAATGCTCGTCTGATCTGGATTGGCCAAAGGTGGCGCGACACTCACAGACGTAGTCGCCCACGACCCGTGTCGCCATCTCGGCGAGGTCCTCAGCCGTGCGACCGGGCCACTGAGGCGTGTGCACCTTCGACAACGCCTCTTGCAACATTCCCCAGACGGCTTGCGCAATCGCTGAAGCATTGTGTTCACGGATCTCGTCCCTCACAGCAGCATCTCGCACGAGCCTCTCCCGAGAACGCACGGAGCGGAGAGTCGTGTCCGAGCCAAGTGTGAGCGAGAGATCGTGCAAGATCCTCAGCACGAGATCAGCACTGGTAGGATTGAGACTGCCTTCTGATGTTCTCGTGAGATCCAATAAAGTCGACAAAAGTGTATAAGGCGGTGGCAAGCCGTAGCTTTGTACCAGTAGCAGGGAGAGTGCCTGAGCAACCTTGTTTCGCAAATCTGCAAGTGAAAATGCGAACTCTTAACACCTGCGCTATCTGCAAAGACGCCATTGAGCGACTCACAAGCAAGGCCGCGCTCTCCACTGCCTCCTACGAATTCCGACTTGATGTACTCGAGCGAGGCGTCCTGCAAGTAGGCTACTGCGGCTGCCGGATCCGAGAGCTGTGAAATGCTGCTTACGAAGCATTCATTGTGAGACCAAGATGTACAAGGACGTCAGCAATGAATGTACATCCTGATACCGAGGGGGAAAACAGCCAGCCGGAACGAGCAACAAGATCTTCAGAAAGGTTACGTCATATAATTTGGTCCGCAACGAGCCGAAGCTCCTCGGAGTTGGATTGTTCAGTCTGAATATTGCTATCATCCTCGATCTTGCTCAAGTCTGCCTGCTTGCCCGTGTTTCCTTAGGGCACTCTGTCACTCACCGATTCTCAAGCAGATCCTGAACGAGATTCAATGCGAAGAGACGAGCGTCGTCCGAATGGAGCGCCGAGGTACCATCATGCTTTCGGGCGGAAAACACGTTCCAAGCGCTCTGCCAGCACTCTGGTGTATTTTGCTGAAGCTGCTGAAGGTAAGCGTGTGCGGATTGGATCAACTCGGTATTCTGATTTTGAGGAGCCGATGCAATTGCTACGGCCCGTAGCAGCTCCGACTCCATGTGGACGCAAAAGCCGACCCTCGACGCTTCGTTCCTGAAGCGATTGGTGGCCGTGAGTGTAGGCAGGTCACCTCTGAGGGTTGCAAGAGATCTGTAGAGGCATATGGTGACGCAGCTCCTACGGCTGAAAGTGTCAATGCCAACGATGCATGTAGATGAGCGACGGCGAACTTAGATCAGGACGGTAACCCAGACTGCCGAGTTAGTGGTGAGTCACGAGTAGTGAGGGCGAGCTATCACGGGCGTTGTTGTATCTGAAAGAGTCAACAGCGCATCGACCTGACTCCTCACGTCGCTCAACTCACTGACTCACGACGTGACTGGTGACTCTTATTTGCAGGCTCTTTGCCGGCGTTGAGGAAATTTGCTGGAGGCGCTTGCGAACGCTGTGCGCGCCCTCGTGACCGACTGGTCGGCGTCTCGCACGAGAAAGCCGGTCGCGTCTAATCGTCCACGCGGCTCATGGGCGAACTTCAGGCCTCGCTTAGCAGGCTATTATGACCATTTTCATTCTGATCTGAGGCTGTAGTTTCAGATATATGATTCAGATCGGCACACTCACACTCGACGTTCGATCTCACGGAAGCTTGGGATTATGAATCACGGAAGCGCTGGCCGCTTCCTGATGACGTCATGCTGAAAAGCCAAATAGCACCCAGAAGCCGGCAGCCAACCTAAGCGTGAGTGATGAAGCCAACTCAAGGACAATTGAGAAGAAGCGACCTCAACGTCTGGCGATCACAAGTGGTGATGGTTAATCTCTCACGCAAACGTCAAATACAAGGGGTCAACACAAGTGGCATTCATCATTTGCTGGTACAAAATTAGACGTTTCGAACAGACACAATCTTGATGTGAGGGTATTATAAATGTATCAGCCAGTTGCGGTCACGATTCTTAACGATGAACTGGTGTGGGTTGGGCTGAGCCGCCGCATGGCTGAGCTCATGTGGCCACTCCTCCACCAGTAGCAAGAATGCCCAGTACTTCTGCTCTTATCGCAGGCCAGTCGGCTGCCGTGGCGGGCAAAGGCGTGTGCGAGGGTCTCAGGCGAATGTGCTCCTCGATTGCGTTGAAGTATTGCCACGTGCGCTCTTGTACGTGTGGATGATAGCCAGATCCCTCGAGGACTTTGCCGCAGACCC